GCAGGTATCACCATGGACCTATTTGAGGTTGGTGGTCATGAGTGATGGGTCAAGTGAGACCCATCAGCTCAGCTTTCTATATTTCTCTACCCTTTTCAATTGCACAGCTTCAGGTATAGATCTCTGTCTAGTCAGATTAGATTAGAGTTAGTGAGCAAGATAAATGAAGAGAGGAATAGGAAGTTGAGTATAAATGCAAGTGAAAGATTATAACGATGGGGCATGGCATCTAAGCTGGTTGGAAGGAGGAGCGCACATAATGGAAGGAGGAACAGAGAGAATGATGGCATGGATAAATGGATTGTTGGAGGAAAATGCTGAAGGGAGTAAGCTGGAAAGATGGGTCATATTGTTTAGAGAGTAGGATGTTTGGTTTGAGGTTATAAGGAAGATGAGTTATTAGTTATGGCAGGGGTATTGGCTATAACCATGGGAGTGGGCAGCTGAGATAGAACGGAGTCAGGATCCCTAAGAAAGAAGCTTGGGAACCCAGAAGCTCCTGGAGGGCGGTGGCAGGAGTAAGGAGTGTGGGAGAGTGGGAGCGAGCCAAGAACTCTTGTCTTCAAGGAATGAGGAATGACTTAAAGGTCTGTAGAGGCCTGCAATAAGGAGAAGTGGGGCAGCGGGGAGTAGAAGAATCTGGTGACACAACCACTAAAATTGGAGGTTTTTAGGGGGAGGAACAGTGGTCTGAAAGCAGAAATAAGGAGAAAGCGGGGCCATCTCCTGAACTCCAGGCCGTGGAAGGGGGCATCTGGGAGAGGAAGTGGCCACCTCTAGCGACTTCAAGGGAACTAAGACCCTCAAGGTAGAGCCATACCTTGCGAAGAGAGTGACCAGAACGAACCTGAGGATTCAGGGCAGCACTTGGGCCACTTACAGTTTGACTGAAATTCAGCTGCACCCATCATTTACACATTGCTGCTTTCTCTCTACAGAACTGAACATTTGGGACAGAGACTGCATGGCTCTCAAAACTGAAAAGTTGTTCCTGGCCCTTTACAGAAAATGTCTGTGGCCCCCGAATGGGATACAGACTGTGGGGGGCACAGTGGGAAGGATTCAGGAGTTGGGTAGAGAGAAGGGGTTAGATCGGAGGATGCACCGACCATATGGGATGGGAGTCTGGAGGACTGGACTTTCTGTGGTAACCAAGAAAAATAGGGAAAAGGGTATGTAGGGGCAATTTCTGTCCTTTGTACATGGAGTCACTGTTACATAGTGTGTGCTGGGTCACAGCCTGGGGTCCAGAAGGAAGCCTGGGGATCAGAGCTGGGTCCCCACATCAGATCTGAACTCAGGGCCAGGGCAATTTCATTTTGAGGGTGAGGCTCGAGCCTTAAAGGACTCATGCCCCAGGGCACCGGACCTGGACCTGGGAGGCTGCAGCTAGGGGCTTAGCTTTGCAGAAGCTCAGATCCACACAGGGCCCAGCAAGGAGGCCATTGGTCTAAACTGAGGATTTTCAAACTGTTCTCCATGGTGCTCCTTGGAGACTTCTTGGGCAGAGAGGCCAGAGATGAGTGACTGGAATTCTGGCTCCTTTCCCCATATTTTACGGAGTGGCTTCCCTTCTTTGATCCATTATATGCATTGGGCCTCTGAGTAAGGCTTTGTTTGAACAATGGGTTCTACAGCTAAAAGAAGTTTGATAACCCTGGCCAGAACACATCTAAAGTCTCTCTCCTCTCCATGATTCTTTCACCTCAGCTTGGCAATTTGATGGTTTTACACCTTAATTGGAGATGTCTTAAATCCCAGGCCAAGGCTGCCAGGATGGGGGAGCATGCTCTTTTCTCCACAGAGAAATGTTCTTTCCACTGAAGTCTAGATCATTGAAATGGAGACCAGTTTGTAAGTTTGTCAAACAGCATTCCAAATCCAAACCAGATTTGGTTGCTAAGTATTTCCTGGAAGAAAGCAATATGCTTATCAGAGTACATGGTGTTCACGAAATGTTATTCAGCAAAGGGAGCAGAGATTGGACAACTTTCTTCTTTTTTAACCCCTGCCCCAACTTGATGCACATGCTTTAATAAGTGTCCGCTTTTAATTTTGAAGGGGTAGAAAATCCAGGAATGGGTCTAGGAGATATTTGTCTTGGTCTGCAGGGATTGCTGTGTTTCTCCTCGATTAGACACTGTGAAGGCGAAACCACTGCCTCGTGCCTGCCTGTCCCTAAGGGCTGGGTTCAGGTGTGAATGCTTGGGGGTGAGGGGGACTTCTCCAGGAGGCATGTCTGGCAATTCCTTAGCTGGACATTAGAGGACACTGAGGCTCTAGAGGGCCCGGCGAGTCAGAAAGGCAGGGCCAACATATTGGGAGGGAGATAGAGACATAGAAAAGCCTTTGTGGCTGCAGCAGAATCTCTCGAGTAGGTAGAGCTACAGAGGAAATTCCTTGGTTCTTGGGGTAGGGCTGTGGGAGGTAGCTCACAGAGGTCTCTGAAGCCCTCTCCACATTCATGCAGCAGTCCCATCTCCCCCATCATACCAAGGAGATAGCTCCACTTTACGAATGAAATGGGAAAGGTCTATGGAGAAGAATGAAATGCCTATTGTCACAGGGTACTGGGCTGGCATTGCCGAGGTGAGAGAGTGGCCCTCAGCCTGACACTCAGGCAGCAGGCAGGTGCGCTCAGCTCTTGCTGGGCAAGGCAGACTCCCCTGATGTGCAAGAGGCCAGAACAGACCTTCCCCTAAGTAGCTGTGGCAGGGGAAGGGGGTGGGGCAAGGAGAGCAGATATTTCCCAGGAGATGCAAGAGAAATAGAGGGATATTCACTTGATAATGTAAAGGCAGCAGGAAAAGTAGGTATGGCCGGAGAGAAGTGGCTGAGTTATACCTTTTGTGGGGCCATGTGTATCATTTGCTGAGTTAGAAGGATGGGCTGAGATTTAGACTGGTTGGAAAACCCCTAGGACCAATAGCCTTTGAGAAGAGAAACTAGCTGCCAAATATGGCCGTGTGTGAGATTAGTAGGGAAAAAAAAAACTCAAACGGTCATGGCGAACCACAAAGTGAGCAATTGCTAGTATCATAACCTCAGTGGCTTAGTCAACCAGAGGCATCTCTTGGAAGAATGCCAAACCTGAATGCTTCCCTCTTTTCATCAGTGTCATGGTCTAGACCCCAGGGAGATGTGACTAGCATCTGGGCTGACCCCAAAAAAGCTGCCCTCTGGGTTGGAGGAAGTGGAGCAGTCTAGGGGATGTAGGAAGGACTTAACAAGCTGGAGACAAGTAGGGCGGCCCAGTGTGCAGCCTATGGCCAGGCACTTGCTCCCTTCCTCCCCAGGCTGCTGTTTGATGTCTACCAGGTGCTTCCTGTTCCTACCTCCTGGGCTAAAGTTGAGGCCATGAATGGGGTGCAGCATTGTACCTAGTCAACTCCAACTCATTCATAAACAGAAGAAGATGCAGAGTCTCTGCCTAGACAAAATCAGTCCCAGCGAGGCGCCCCCAACTCTCTATCAGCCTCAGAAGCATCAGACCTCAGTCTGAGGCTCTTTTCTATGCATGTGTGAAAGCTTCCCAGGAGACTCAGGCCTTGAAGTAGATTCTGGATTTAAAAGGGCTTTAGGGGCATTTGAAACAACCCACCTTAAAGACCTTTACTATAGTTTACTGAGTTAACTCAAGGCACTTTTCGTTTATTCTGGCATGAACAGAAGCAGCAAAATCTCTCATATAGCTGCCTCTTCACTCCAAATCCCCTGAAGCCAGATCTCTACCTGGTGAATACTTTAACTTTAGTGCTCCTGATGCCACCCAAATGTCCCTGATGTTAATGTGGCAAAAGTGTGTTACTCATTGGTTAGGCAAAAAAAAAGACAACAAAGAAAAAACTCTAAAACAGTTCCAAATAACCCTAATAAGCCATCCAGATGGCCAAAGACAAGGAAATAACTTCTAAATGACCTTGATTTGCTCTTGTATTATTTCCTGCAGGAAAAACCAGAAGCTCCCAGGAGATCACAAGTAGTGAGTGCTCTGGAGAAGCCACAGAGGTCTAGGTCTTCACTAGGATAGCACAAAAGAATTCATGAAAATAGTTTCTTGGGATAAGAGCCTAACGACATATTGACCTTGAAACTGAAGTCTGTTGGGATTCCAGGAGAGTAAAAACACAAGGTGGCCATAACTTGATCGCTCTCTGGGCTCAAAGTAACAAGAGATAGCTCAAAGAAGCCAGCTTGTTCTTGAAATGGAATGTACTACAAAGGTGCCCTCCCTTTACAAAATGAATGAGTTGTTGGAACTTCAACTGTATGTTGATAAATTACATCTTACACAACGTACGTAGGCTTGTTAGGTACAGATATTTCCTAGAGAATCTTTTTGTGAAGTTACTAATTCCTTGATAAGGAAATCATTACTTCTAAATTTTATTTAAGATTCCTTACATTGCTTTTTATTAAAAAGCATATATTGGCTTTGTCTCATCTTATTACTAAAGTGGAGCAAAGAGTTAAGGGGAAGGTGTGTTTGATTTGGGTTTTGTCACTCACTATCTTGGTCCTTAATAGTTCCCTGTTTTCCTATCACCCATCTGTCCAAAGCAGCTTGGTTTCTTGGGCCACAACAAAGCCCACTGTAGAGGTGAGGGTGGGCATCCATAGTGCTTGTGTGCCAGCCCCACCCCCATGCCTATAGACTGCATGCTCACAGGTAAGCTGAACTAAATCTGCTCAGGGATATAGCAGGGAAGTTGGTCAGAGGAGCTGTTGGGCCAGATGTGGTTGGAGATGGACTAAAACGCTTTAAACAGAGGACTCTCCCTAGCTACATGAAGGACCCTGGGTTCCATCAAAAGCACTCAGATTCACTCGTGTGTGTGCGCATGCATGTGTGTGAGTATATGTGTGCATGTGGGAGCCATGGTGGGGGTATTTCTAGGTAGTAGCTCCTCTCCCTTTGGTGAAAGTCTAAATTCAAAGAGATATTTAACAGATCCTCTTATCTGGCCTGAAGCCCAGTGCCACAGTGACCAAATCAAAAAGGGATATCAATACAGAAGGAAAAAGAGGTATGTATTGGTTGATGACAGGAGTGAGAGGAGGGAATAGAGAAGGGCAGCTATACTTACCCTACAACCACAATTATAAAATCTAGTAAATTCCAGCCATTGCGGAGGTAAGCGTTGGGGTGAAAGAGAAGTCCATAGGCTATTACTTTTAAAAATGCTTCCACAGTAAAAATGATGAGAAAGAGATATTCCACTCGTTCCTAGGAAACAAAAATAGAAGAGAGAGAAAAATAAAATCTTTAGATTAGAGATTTATGAAGTTTTGCTCCAGTAGATCTCACAAAGAGGTGGAGGAGAATGCTGCCCTCCCCTCATCAGTAGGATCTAAAGGGAAACTGGGTAGGACCCCCCCGCCCCCACACACACACCAAGCCAAATTATCAACTCCACAGTCTGTTCCACTATTAGAACTCTGATCCACTGGGCATTAAGTTTTGTTTTTCCCCCTAAGTCTTCAAATATCTTCTGTTAAAGTTCAAATATTAGAAAATTTACAGATTTAGGGGGAAGCATCTTACTTAGTCAATCAGGGAACATGTCATTGTACCTCCTCAGAAGGGAACTCGTAATGTCTTGATCTACAGGAAAACAATTCCTGAATAGAGGAGAAGAGTGCTGAGAAAGGGGGTGAGACAAAACCCCCTTGATTTGTAGGCCATGATTTTAAGATAACCAACCCTGGAGATAACAGATATAGTCTTGGGGCGTGTCCTAGCTGAGTTCTCCAAAACAGAGCAAAAACACAGCTGCAAAGAAATCAAGGCATTGAAGATCTCTTAACGGAGGCAAAACTGCTCACATACACGGATCCAAAATTTTGAACTCTCTCTTTTCTTGAGAAAATAAGTCTTTTTCCAAAGTCATTGACCAGGTTAGCACTGAAAATCAGCATTTCCAGGATGGAGGCAGGCACTGAGGTGGGGCGGTAAGTGGAAAAGGCTCCTCTCTTTTCTCAAGGGTCAGGAGGTAGGTAGTCTTTTCTTCCCTCTGCCACCTTAAAGAAGGGCTTTGCATTTGAGGCTTCAGCTCCTGTCCCTGGGAGCCCACACTGAATAGGACAACCTCATTGGCTCAGTTAGAGCGAGCCAACTCTGCGCTGATTCGCTGGCTTCCCTTACCACTAATTGCTTTCTCCCATAACCCATTCCCAGGGTGCAGCCTTAATGGCCGCCAACAGGCGAAGGCTGCCTGCATGCCCTCATGCTCCACTGCTCGTCTCTGCAGGAGCCTCAGCCCATTTCTCACTGGAGCCACAAAACAACAGTTCACATAGCATTTGGCCACAGGTCCTCCAAGCAGGACGGGCTGGTCCACAGCCTCCAGGAAGCACTCGACTCAGAACCTCCAGACCTATTTTCCTATCTACTCAGTGGAGCTCACTGAAGACCTCCAGGTCCTGCCCACATTGTGGGGACGGGGGGAGGCATCGCCCAGGAAGGCCTTCCTTCTTCTCCTAGCCTACTGGGAGGATGCTCCAAGACTGGGGTTTTGGGAGTCTGATGGGTAGCTCTTCAGGAAGAGGTTAGCCCACACGCACCCCTGTGCTCCCTTCTTTCTTTCCAGATCTCCTAGACATTCAACTAGTGCTCTCCTCATCTCCGGGTGAAGCAGTTGAAAGTTAAAAAATGCAGAATTCTGGGCCCCACCCAGACCTAGTGAAGTAGACCTCCTGGCTATGGAGCCTGGAAATGTACATTACAGACAATTTCCAGGTGTTTCTGAGGCACCTGAAGTTTAAGAACCACTGGCTGTGTACTGATGGAGGCCCAGTACTGCCAGCAACTGCAGGAAGGGAATGGACAGGTTAGACTGATTCGGCACCTCAGAGTAAGGCTGTCCATCCTTTACTTCCTACCCATTAGAGCATCTTAAAGTTGGTCTGGGGACAAGGCTGCCTGGGGGCTGTGACCAAGGTACAAATCACAGTGTGTGGGAGCCTCAGGTCTTTTAAAGTTAGGTAACGTTGAATTAAAATGAACATTAAGATAGTGTTGGAAGGGTAAGGACATTACAAGGGTACAGTGCAACCTGAAAAAATGTGTGGAAGTGGGGGTCTATCAGTCATGCAGCCCCCATCGCCATGATGGTCAGAGCTTTCGTGTTTGGCACAAGACGACAGGGCACCCTCTTCTGTACCCCAAAATACTCAATGGGGGATTCACAAAGTTGGAGTTAAGATGAGAGGGGAAGAAAAGGAAAGGGAAACAAACATAAATTAGGTATCTACTAGGTGTCAGGCACTTTCATGTGTTCACGTATGTGCTAGTTAACTTTTACCCATCTATCCTTCCATCTATCCATCCATCCATCCATCCATCCATCCAGTCATTCATTTTCAGTGTGGTAAAACTAGCTGAATTATCTGAAAGTGATTGTGGAGCTCCTTCTGGATTGTCTAGACAATGAGCTTTCTGAGACATGTAGCATCCAAGCTTAGAGTACTTCCTTCCTGGGTAGGGAAAACAGTAATATCCCAAAGGCTCTAGGGCCCTATGTGCTGAGAAGCCAGCATTCCCAGACAAGTCCTATAAGCAACTGGTACCCCCAACCCAGACTGCCCGGCACTAAGCAGTCTGTTTGTTCTCTCATCTACAAGGCTGCTTTGCCTTGCTTGATTTCTATATATATATAGATATGTTCATATAGATATATGCTTTTTTTTAAAGCCATAAGGGAGGAGGGGTCCTGGTCCCTTCCACTGCAATGCAGACCCACACTTCAGGCCCAGACTTTCAAAGCTGTGAATAGATGGGACTGGATCTCCCAGGACTCCTGGAGGACCCCTTTCCCTGATGGTGAGTGAAGCCCGATCTGTCTTGGAGCAGTAATGGCTTTGCCACTTCAGATGGTTCCTGTCTCTCATCTTCCTTTTAATTACTTTCTCTTCCTCTCTAGTTCTACTTCCCTCTTATTGCTTCCTTTCCATTTTCCTCTTGTTCTCCCTTTGTTTCTTCTCTCCCTGCTCAGTTCTTAGGGCTACCACTGGCAGCTGGGGGTCCATGGTCACACCCATGTCTGAAATATTTAGAAGGATTCAGTGGAGAGAGAGCCTCAGTTCCCAGGAATCATGATATCTTCTAAACACTTGTGGAACTAATTAGACACTGATGAGTACAGGCTATCTTAGTTTTCCATTTATCTTTTCACATATACATATCCTGCCTTTCAACTATGTCATAAACTAGAGCACAGAGACTCAATTATCTTTTGATGGTAATAACCTTGATTTTGACACCAATTGACTCTGAATGTCTTTGGGCAAGTCATTTTACTTTTCTGTGTCTACTTCCTTATCTGTAAAAGAACTAGTTAAGCATTTAAAAATATATACAGTGCTGCAGAGAATCCTACGTTTACACTGTGCTGTTTTGGGAGCAGTTACAGGTTAAGGGAAGACTGAGAAAGTAGGGCTTTGGCTCCCCCAGCCCTTGAAACAGAGTAGCACCATTTAACCCACATGCTAAGTTGTCCAATGGTCCTAACACAGTTGAATGGAGTCCAGGGAACTAATTTGATAGGGACATAGACAGAGAACACACACAGAAAAGAAGTAGCCGCCTCTTCCTGACCAATCGGGAAGGCTTTTATTGGCTTTATATGCTGAGTTCTGCATAAGATTTTATTTGAGAAAAGGAATCATTGCTTTTTGTGTTTTTCTTGGAACTTTGAACATCACTTCCAAAGTGGTAGATGATGTCCAAATACTCTCTGAAATTCTGTGGCAAGTGAGGATGCTGGTGCCTGGCCTGTGTGCAGTTCTGTCCAAGGCACAGCTAGATTCCAAGTCATATAAAGGAACAAAGAGTTCCTCCCCTCATTGTTCTGATGATTTCCATAACACAAATGGATTTTATAATAAAAAAAATCCTTCATTAAAGAGATTATTAATATTTGTGTTTTAGGAGAACATAAACTCCTTGTGAGCAGAAGCCATGTCAGTGTAGAGCTCTTAGGACAAGGACAATCATGAAGAGCCTGCCATGTCTATTCACGTATGTACATTTCTGCACACAGACACATGCATGGTACAGCTGGGTGATGCCCATCATCCATGCTGAATGCTGGACAGCTTATACCTGCTATATAACAGACCAGGGTGTGAGAACTGATACTAAGAGAGCCTCTGTGCACCCACTTAAATTTATAAAAGTGTATTTATTGAAGCTTCCAAGAATTCTACACAAAAATAACTGATGAGGAGCCCAGTCATATAATTCCATCTCAGTACAAGATGCAAAGACTATAAAACCAATAACAATGCTTTGAGTAGAACCTTGTATTCCAGAATGTTTCATAACTTAAGTATCATTCAATCTGACCTCAAATTACAGCCTCTTGACTATTCTCTAACAAAGGGAAATAAAGAAACTGGAATACCAGAGTTCCTCGCTCTCTAGTTCTTCCTTCTCTCATTCATTCATTCATTCATTCATTCAGTAGGTCACAAAATTTCCTGAGGGTCTGCTCTACCCCACACAACTTGTCATCTGTCCTCTTAGGACACTGGTGGACTTATAGAAATAAGAAGCTGAAAGGGCCTTCAATAAGGATATGCATTCTAAGCTCCTTATTATACAAAAATAAGGGGACTTGTTCAAGGCCATACATCTACCCCGTGTGATAAACACTCGGGTTTACTGGTGGCTGGTTGGTGCTCCTTCTGATACAGCACAGCTGTTTTTGTCTGTGGACTGACTGAAACCCTGGATTACTGTGCCCACCAGGGTGTGGCTAGAAGGGTGGACAGCAGGGGTCCCAAATCCTCCTCCCTCCTAGGGTCTCTACTGGTACTTAAAATACAGCCATTAAGAAGCCTTTCTTCCACCAGTGGACAGCTGGATAAACACAATGTGGTGTACATACACACAAAGGAATACTAGACATGAAAAGGAATGGAATTCTGACACATGCTACAACATGGATGAGCCTTGAAGACATTATGCTACGTGCAAAAAGCAAGTCATAAAATGATAAATATTGTATGATTCCACTTATGTGAAATACCTAGAATGGCAAATTCAAAGACAAAAAATAGATTAGAGGTTACCAGTAGCTGAAGGGAGGAATAAACTGTCTCGAGGAATAAAAACTTTGGAAATAGACAGTGGTGATAGTTGCATAACATTGTGAGTATAATTAATGCCACTGAAGTGTACACTTAAATATGGTTAGAATGGCAAATTTTATGTTATATATATTC